TTTAAACTTTTACTTTTACAATATTTAATTTACCATTCCTACATGTGCAAATTTTTCTTGTTGTGAACGTTTAAAACACTACAGCTAAGACTTTTTTGCGTAACATCAAGGAAAATCTGCCCTGTTGGGGGGTTTATATCATTAGGGGGGGAGTGCAAAAGGTGGCCACCGGGGTTACGGAGGATAAGTCCAACAGTTGATCCAAAAATTCACCCCGGGTTGTTTTATTATCTATACAGATGGGGCGGTGGAGGAAGAAAAGTGCCTAGGGGTTTGTAGCAAAAGAAAAAGGAAAATTTTTAGTGAAAGCCCCCTAGCTGCAAACCACAACGTCTAGCTGAGAATGGGGGGTGGAGGCAGTAACCAGCTCCCGGTGGCTAGAGAACAAGATCCCACACATGTCGTAATTGTAACGACTCTAAAAGCATCTAAAAAGGTAAAGACAGGATGTTTTCGAGCGAGTGGCAACTTCAGGAAAAGATCCGGGTAGTGAGCATATTTTGGTCTTTCTCCGGGTTTTTTGCCGGGGGGGTAATAAACGGGAAAACGATTGGCTGGACCCAAAACCACTGGGGGGGGATGATGCATGAAGGGCAGATGTTGTCAAGGGCCCCCTTTTGGGGAACAGAAACGGAATAGTAGAAAAAAAAAAGTTTATTAGGCCTGGAAAAATGGGCCCTGAGTGAAACCGGGGGTTTGGCCCATCGCTACACCAAAAAAAAAGACAAAACGGCCTAAACCAATTTTGACCGGGACCATCTTTGAAAATTTTGCTGGTTGCTGAAAATGGACGGGGCATGCTGGGAATGCCCCAGTGCTGTAGTCAATTCTTATTTAAATAACTAAATGCTTTAACATTACTCCAAATAAATTCGCCCTTTTGCGCCCGTGGTGGTGCTCTGTTGATCAAAGGTTCAGCAAAATCCTCACTGGGTACAACTTGTATTTTGAATGACGCTTTTATAGGCTGCAAGATATTTGTAGTTAGCCTGAATTAAAGCAAAAGCTAAAGAAATTAAAGAAAAATTGTTTGCCTAGAAAATTAGTAGAAATACAATGTCTCCCAGTCTTACATATGCAAACTTGTTCTGTACACACACAGTTCCAAAGATGAATAATAATAATAATAATAAGAAGAAGAAGAAGAAGAAGAAAAGGAATAAGAAGGAAGAAAAAGAAGAAGAAGGAACAACAAGAACAACAAGAAGAAGAAGAACAAGAACAAAAAGAAGAAGAAGAACAAAAAAGAAACAAGAGAAGATGAATAAGAAGAAGGAGAGAAGAAGATCGGAGGAGAAGAGGAGAAGAAGAAAAGAGAAGAAGAAAAGAAGAAATAAAAGGAAACAAATAGAAAGAAGAAGAAGAAGAAGAAGAAGAAGAAGAAGGAGGAGAAAGCATGAGAAGAAGAGAAGATGAAGAACGAAGAAGAAAGAAGAAGAAGAAGAAGAGAGAAGCAGCAAAGAAGAAGACAAAGAAGAAGAAGAAGAGAAGAGAGATGAAGAAGAAGAAACAAAAACTTCTTCTATGATCTGGCAGCTTTTCATTGCCGCCCGATAAGCAGACAACAAACAAGACACAATTTTGTTAACCTAGTCAGAGGTGCATTGTTACGTAATCAGCATGAAGCTCACACACACACACACACACACACACACACACACACACAAACTAACATTAAATTCTGTTTAAAACTCAGGAAAATCGCCATTGCGACAATTGAATTGATGCAACAAGTTTATGAGAATAATAGTTTATCTAGTGCACAGATTGTCAGCTGCTATTCACGATTCAAAAGTAGTGTTGAAATGATTACTAATGCAGCTAGACCTGGACGCCAGATTTCTGTTCGTAATGAGGATTCATTGCAAAATTCCGAGAGCGGATATAAAAAGATCGTTGTTCAACTGTGAGGATGATGGTAGATGAATTTGGTGTTATTACAGAGACTATTCGTAAAATTTTAGTGGAAGATTTGGGCAAGAAATAAGTTACTGGACGGTTTGTATTCAACACCTGGCAATTTATTTTCTTCATGACAATGCACCAGCTCAAAGGACGGTAGTTGTACGGGAATTTTCGGCCTAAAACAGATGAGTGTTTTCAACCATCAACCATATTTTCCAGATTTGTCTCCCTGTGACTATTTTATATTCCAAAAATTAAAGTTATCATTGAAAGGACGCTTCTTTGACGATATTGGTGGCATCCAAAGGACCGTAACATCGTCTTTAGGGGCCATAATGATAGTAGAACTACAGTGGTCGTTCCAGTGTTTGTTAGATCGTGTCACTCGCTGTGTCAAGAGGCTTACTTTGAATATTATACAGATTATATCTTCAACTGTTGATTATTAGTCTCATTACTTAATTGTCGGACCTTGTATATACATAATGAAACATTTAAGTCATCTTAAGGATAAAAACGGTGATTATATGAAAAGGCATAAATGACACCCACTCTTTATAGTATATTTGTATATATGTACATGAGTGCTCCGGTACATTAAATCTAGCGGAACAGTCGTGAGACTAAGCTACTAAAGAAACATATTGTAACACTGGGTCTAAGAAGGATCAGGAAAACATAAAGTATATATCAGCAATACAGAATCAATTACAACAAGTAAAGGACATTGCGACGATTTACCTTCATCGGTTGAACGACGACACACACACACACATACACACACGCACCTACACACACACACAATACAAAAATGATATGACTGTAATAACACTATATTAAAATATTAACATATTGAGTCGAATGTTGTATCGATAATAGACATTACAACACTCAAGACACTCCCATAAGCGCTTCGTTCTTATCTTCAGCAGCAAGCGCAGAGTTTAAATTACGACAGTACCAGCAACAGTCTGATTGTATATTCAAATATTGTGTAAAAACAATTGTGGATGTAGGACTTACCTTGTCTATCTTTTGTGTAGCAGGGTTCCACACGTAAATGGACAAATTGCCACTTGTGACCGAAGCGTTGAGTTTTTGCGCAGCTTGCTGCAAGCTGATAGACTGGAAAATGGGACCACTGATGTCACTGGCATAAGGTGGTGCATCCAGTAATTCAAATTCTAGGACAGCATCGCCGACAGCGTAATAAACCTGAACACCGGGTTCAACATGTCAGTAACATCAGTCAACAGAAACAAACATCTATTTAATTCAGTCTAGTGTGTAGGTAATTAATTATCTTTGCATGCCCTTCCATCAATATGTGGCATGAAGAAGGGGAACTTGGAATTTTGTATGTTCGTTGACTGTGTGATCATTCTTGAACTAAGAGACATAACAGCTTCTTTTATAGTGCTTCATATTTGTAGGCAAGTAGGTAGGTAATTTGTACCCCACCAGGACATCAAACAAGCGATAAACACCTGGTGACGATTGAGGATCACCCGTGGAGAGGTCCCGGAAATGCCGTTCAACCGTTAGGTCATATTTATGGCCCGACTATATTTAAGGGCCCTCAGCAAAAGCCAGTGTGGGGCTTCAAAATAACGAATATTTATTTAATCATTTTTGATTGTTTTAGATGTATGTGTATTTACACTGTATGGTGTTCATGATTGTTTCCTGCAATTAAATTAGACATTATAATTTTATGCGAAATTTTTGTAGACTTCCTATTACAGTAATAAATGTTTCAGACGTACAGCACAGTACATAAGAAACATTTATAAAGTACTGTCCTGTACTAACAGGTCAGAAGAAAACCTTCGTCATCCCCTTGTGTAATGCAATTTTGCATTATTTTGAAGCCCCACCATGGCTGTTGCCAGGGGCCGCAATATAGCCTACCAGTTGAATGCGGTTTCTGGGACCTCTCCACGGGTGTTGTCACTTTGTGTTACCGGGTGTTTATCTTTCTGTGTGATGTCCTGGTGGGGAAAAGTTTACTACTACTATTACTACTATAAAGAGGTCAGAAAATATGAATAAGAACGAGTTTTGCTATAAAACTCGTGTTTTTAACGATATGGATGGGGTAGATATGAGTATTTATAAAACTCCGTTTGGTTATCCAGCCTACACTTCCGCCACATTAGGTCGGATATGGCAGAATCTACTCTGTTTCCATTATGTCTTGGCCTAGTGCAATTTTTCATTCTAGATTATTCACTTTGGCTGTGCATAATGTTAAAACATTCTTGGTGCATCTCACGAAAATCACCGTGTACTCGCGTGTGTGCGCGAGCAAGGGCTCAGCTAGCTTTATTTACTTTATCAGCTACGTCTTTCGTGCAACCGTCACTGGTTTCAAATTTTTTGATGTTTTGGGGCGGGCCATGAAAATGGACATCTTTAGAGGGTGGTGATGGGCTTACAGTAAAGCAACGCTACTCTGCTTGTTGCTCACCAATGCTCAATGCTAACAGTTGAAGGAAATTCATGGCGAAGGTCAAGTCAGCAAGTGATGCCGCAGTGATGGCGATAAAGAGCGAACGCACACTGCAGTAACACACACAGTGTAGCCGGTCACTGACAGCGTGGACAACAGAACATGCAGGCTGCTCACAGCTTGTGTTGATAGCCTTGGAAATAACAAAACATGACACCTCTGGAACATTGGACAGTCTGTGGGAAATCTCGTTCCCCGCGAGATGCCGGGATGTAGGTGAATGTATCACATTCTTTTATAACACTTGATTTTTTTTTCTTTACCTTAGAAATATTGTCTTTCTTTCTGTCTGACTGTATATAATTAACAGCCACTTGAGAAAACGTGTTGCTTAGTATGTTCACATATTTAACTAAAAATGTTTTTTTTTCCCAAGTGTGTTGTAAATTATCAATATTCATGAATATTTGACAATGTGAAGTTCTTTTCTTTTACCCCCCCCCCCCTTTTTTTTTTTCCTTCGACAAAAAAAAAGGGTGGGGGGGGGGTGAAAGTGCGAGGATCGTCTGTATGCTATGTCTAATGCCTTGTGTGAAAGTGCGAGGATTGTCTGTATGCTCCGTCTAATGCCTTGTGTGAAAGTGCGAGGATTGTCTGTATGCTCCGTCTAATGCCTTGTGTGAAAGTGCGAGGATTGTCTGTATGCTCCGTCTAATGCCTTGTGTGAAAGTGTGAGGATCGTCTGTATGCTCCGTCTAATGCCTTGTGTGAAAGTGCGAGGATTGTCTGTATGCTGTATGAGTAGGTCCTCATTTTTTTCATTTGTTTTTGATGTCGTTGATGTATATTGTACCTACTACTAAGGCGTTGCGAGTCTGACTCGTAATCCAACGTACCGCGATCGAAACCTGCGTGTGCTGCGTGGATTTTTATTGTGGTATGGGACGTCGCAGGTCGACCCAGCCTCAAATTGGTACCAAGATGGGCTGTCCTGGGAAAGTAAAGACGGCCGGCGTAATGCTGACCACATTACCCACCGAGTGCCAATTGGTCTGTAAAAATATGGGTGCTCTTCCCATATGCCCGATGCGCCTAAGGGCGTGTAGAGGGATCTTTACTTTTACTTTCACTTACCCTAGTCCGTGTGCCCGATATTTTCTCAGTGTGGCATTCTACTGACCCAAGTTAATTGCTCTCTGTTGCAGTTGGTCAGATGGCCAAACTATTTCATGTTGCTCTTTATTGGACTGTTTCAATCGTCCTTTTTTTTTCCTTTACATAATGGTATATGTATGTGTGTGTTTTGTTGTTTTATCTCTCTTGTTACTCTGGCTATTTTCTTTAGACATCTTATATCTGTCAAGATTTCGCCCTCATTAGTTTTAGTAAGGGTCCATATTTGAAACAATACATAAACAATAGTTCTGAAATGTGCCTTGTCAGACATAGGTTTCTTTCTGTGTAATAACAGAGTCATATATTAAATCAATAAATCTGCATTAAACAAGTCAGCGCTTCTGGACAAAAATGACTCTTAAAACAGCAAAATAGTAGCTCAAATATGTCAATATCCGTGAACGTAATGAATGTTAGCAACCTGCAAATCTGCTATGCGAATCCATCGGACACCTGCAGCCTTCCCAAGGGTTAAGGCTGTGTCCCATTTAAACTGCTCAATGTTTGTGTTCATCACCAACTCCTGAGCTCCTAAGGAATAAGTACGTTTATTAGTATATATTATCATTTTTTTTTTCAATTAGCAGCTTTCTCCAAATCACATATCATACAATATGAACATATGCAATTTTTGGCTCTTGGGTTAAAGGTAGAAGAAGTGTATGTTGGTTCATTTAAAGAGCCAATGGTCACCGCTTAGTGCAACAAAGCCTTCAATAGGATACCACCACATCTAGTATGAGAAGTTAGGTGCAGGCAATCACATTTGCTTTCCACTCGCTTGAGAACCGGATATATTCAGATATTATGATCATAATACTCACAACGCATGTTGGGTTATGCTGAGAAAGGCATGCTCCATGTTGAATGGCAGGCGTTGTTTGAATCTTCTCTGCGGGACAAGCAGCTGTGTTGGGACAGAACAGCTACACAGATATGCTGCTTCGGCACCACTAGATGCAAGTGGTGAAATGATTTATAACAAGCATCTCCAGACCATATTGCCATTCTAGTCGGCCTCCCATCATTGATGCAGACCATATCGGAGTCAATCATGGCCTCTGCAAGAGCAATTCCCTGTCGGTTTTCTCCACTACTGTCCCATTCTCTGTTCCTCGCGTTGAAATCCCCACATAGAAGTAACCTATCACCTGATAACTCCTCCAATTCTTTGAGCCAGCCCCATTGTTCACTTCTGACAAAACAGTCTACCGTGGCATATATATTTATGAGGTTTCAACTGAAGCCACCAATCTCCACCTGAATCCCTGGAACCTCTCTTCCACTGTGATTCCACTGGCTCAAGTCAAGCACCACATGCTTCACTCCCTCCTTCACCACCAGACCTTGTCCATGTCTCCCCTGTCCAACAGGGTTTATATAACTGACGTACCCATGGCAATGATGTAAGTCTGCATTTAGCACCTGGAGCATAACATCAAAATCAAAAATCAACCTCTCCAGTACAGGACCTCTCTGTCTAGCACTCCGACAGTTCCAGTATCCTACTCTTACAGGATTAAAGCTCAATCTCTCCGCTTTTTGTCTTGTTCTCCTAGCACCTGCCCTACTATTTCCATGACATCTTCTCTCCCCATTCCCTCGTCGTCTCCTCCTCACTCTCGCTTCACGAACTGCGGAAAAATGTGTCAAGCGCAGAGCACGTGCTCCGTAGCTCCGGCGACGATTCCTATATATATATATATATATTAAAATCAAAATGCGAAAAAATAGAGTACTGCAGGAAATGACCGGTCACCCTAGTAATGCCTGCCTCCTAGGGAAGGGGCAATGGATGTCCTGTAGGAGTCCATACGCCTGGTGCCGCCCCGCACGCCCGCCAGACGTCTAACGTTCACGACCAGCTCACCCGTGGCCATCCAGTTCCTCAGCACTTTGGCCCACCTTGAACTTGGGGGTTTATATTCGGAGTTTGCTGTCTCCTAGATGGACTGCTGTGCAAAGCTAACGGGTTCCATCTACTCGGGGAAAGGGGTTATAGCGCCCCGACCCGCTTGACAGGCACGTCTTCGAGCATATGAGGCATTTTATAAGGATTTCAGATCCCACCCTGAAATCCCGCCTCGCCGTCTGTGCCCACCGCCAGTTGGTCTGCGGCGGACCTTTGCTTCTTTGTCTCATTAAGTGCCATGTAAGCCGCCAACTGGCGACTGAGAGTGAAGAATGTATCACTGACTGCAAAGCACTGGGAACGACATCCAAGGTCCACCACCCTATTAAAATAGGCAACTCGGATACCACATTCTCAAACTGTCCCAGCCCAGAGATAAAGACATGTCTCAGCATTCCCCTGCAGATACACAGGAACCAGAAGCCATGTATGGCACTGACGGACCCTGCAGGCTGCCTGGTGTCCAAGACCCCAGCTCCATTGGTGAACACAGAGAAGATCAGATTCAGCTGGGTATCGAGGCATGTAGGCTGATCCCTTTGTCAATGTATCATCACTTAGAAGGGGTTCAGTCCTCTCCAATATCAGTGTATCCTTGAGCTTTTCATTCTCTTTCTCGTGGGTATCTCACCTTTTGGGCCACTGGATAACAACGATGTCACAGGCGGGGCTGATAATCATCAACAAACCACCAATAATTACCAGAAAAACGATGGCAATCAGTAGCTGTGCTCGTGTCTCGGTCCTCCGTGTGATGTTTAGCAGGGGCAGTTTGTAAGGTCCCGTTTAAACTCCAGCAGCTTATCACTTCCCTGAAAAGCAAAGCGTTATCATTAACAGAGCAGGTTTCTGGCCTGCAGGCTCCTAACTAGACCGGAAGCTGAACAGGGAAACCAGCGAGCTTCAAATTTGCCTTGAAAATGCAGTAATTCCCATGGAGGTTCTGGCGTCTGTCAGCAGATAGAGCTGAAGCACTGCGACACCGAGCATAATTTCCAACAAAGATCCGTCTCGAAAGAGTCAATCCTGGACCAGGTTTCCCAAATGCATCTGGGACCTGCATGGCCCATGGCTCTGGTTTAGCTAGCCCTGCTATAAAAAACCTAGCATGAATGTATCATTAACACAAGCAGACGTTAACAGGTTACTAGCCATTAACTTCGAACTAACTACTTAACATACTCCTTCAATGTAGAAAAAAAAAAAAAAAAAACCGGCTGGATACCTGGCGTTATAACATCATTATTTCTAAGAAACTCTGAGAAGTGTATTCAAAATTTGTTTTTTTTTTTTTTTCAAGTTTCTGCCGGAAACAACGAAACCACTCAGCCATTGTACCCACATCCACTTGGATTTTGATACTGTCTTTTCCAGCTGAGTAAGTCCACCTCTGTAAAAGGTCTTATAGGCAATCTGATCCGGGTGCATTCTTACTAAATGACCAAACCACTTCATTCTCTGTCTTTCAATATGTTCCATGCATGCTCTTGTTCTAACTTTGTCTCTAATGTTGACGTTTGTGACTGTGTCTCTTCGTGTATTGTTGGTGACTCTTCGGAGACATCGCATTTCACACGCAGATATTTTTTGCATATGTGATTTGTTCATTGTCCACGTTTGGCACTGATAACATAACGTAGGGATGAAAATGCTGTTGATCATCTGTTGTTTGGCTGGTAACGAGATCTTTGGATGACGAAGAAGTGGGGCCAGTTGGTAGTTGACTGCATTGGCTTTTTGAACCAGTCTGTCATACCTTCCGTTGTTCTTACAGCGCTCTGGCTATTTTGATAGAGAGCCATTATGTTTCCCAATAATTGACCCGGTACACCATATTCTTCAAGAATGTTTCATAGTTTATTTCTGTTAACCCTGTCAAAAGCCTTCTCTCGATCAATGAATATAAGATTCTGGTGTCTGAGTAAATAACGGAACTAAATCGATCAATAGTGAAATTCTGGAAATCATTAGAGAACGAGATACGCCACACAGAAACAGAGATTGTGTAACCTACCGAAACTAAGAAATAAAGTACAATATGTAGTTCGTAAAATAAAGAAAGACCATTTTAATAAATTGATTAATGATAAAACAGAGCGCTGACATATGGAAGGCCTTTGACAAGCCAACCAGCAAGAAATATTTTTCACATCAGGCAACATCTAATTCTCTAACATACAAAGAGCGGCTGCTTTTCCAGATCAGAAATACCAGACTTACTGTGTGACTTGAGCTTACTAGCATCATTCAGTGAGGACAAATGCATCAAGACTATTCCTTCTGATATTGCCCTGATGTAAGTTGCTCAAGCAAACAAACTCTTCTGGTTTGAATGGGAGCACTAACCTGATTCTTCAATGTGCCGTACCAGTGATAAGTGATTCCTTTACGTTCATCTATAATCACTGTCGTGCCAAGAACTATTTTCCAGTGGCACTCAAAATTGCTAAAGTTTATCCTCTGCTTAAACCTGCCTCAGCCGACAATAGCTCTTTAGGTAACTATAGACCTTTTTCTCTACTGTCCTCGCAATTAAAACCGCCAAAGAAACATACATACAAAAACTTAACAATATTTAACTCTTAACTAACAACAATCTAATGATCAATAGCCAATCAGGTTTTAGAGCGAAATATTCTTATCATATCGCTTTGAGAAAATTGACTGATAACTGGCATTATAACACCAATGAAGGAAATATTTATGGGGTGGTATTTATAGACTTTAAGAAAGCCTTTGACACGGTCGATCACAAGATTTTAATTAGTAAATAAAATTTTGAAAACTACCGATAATTTAGTAAAGTTAATAAAATCATGTTTGTTTGATAGGCAGCAAGTCATGACTCTCAACAGCGAGCTCACTTTTAAAATCCACACAGCTAAGTATCGGTGTACATCAAGGCTAAGTTCTACGTCCATTGCTTTTTTCTACCTATATTAACCACCTGCCTTTACATTTTAGTATAACATGTGACCTTTTTGTAGATGACTGTACAAAATATACTAGTCATGAGAATTAAAATGTGTTTGGACGTTCCTTACAGAATGAAACTGATAATCTTGTTAAATGGAGTAAGGGTAGTTGCATGCAAATCAATATAAACTAACTCAATCGTACCAACTACCAGACAAAAGTCACAAACTCTACTTTTGCACAAGCCACTACTAAAAATCAATATTGACAAATTACCTATAGCTAAGGTAACCGAACACAAAAATTAGGCCTTGCCATTGATAGTTATTTGACTTAAAGATCTCATGTTCGTGTCATAACTAAAAAAAAGTCGCCCAGGAAAGCTTATCAACTTGCCAAAATAAGTATTTTCTAGATGAAAACACGCGAAAACTGCTCAACGTATCCTACATCCAGACACACCATGATTATTTCTCCACAGTTTGGGATGGTTGCGCTAAATCTAATATTAAATAACTGGGTTTTTTTTTTAAAGAGCGATCTACGTATAGTTTAGCTAGAAAATACGCCGAAAACAAGCAGTCATATAACCATTTGGGGCTCCTGCCACTCAGTAAGCGCTTTGTTTTTAACAAAGCCAAAATCATTGATAAAATCATGCCAAAGAATGCTCCAAATGATCTTTTCCGGCCGATTCAGTCTCATATTACTAACATTAAGCGACTAAATTTAGTAAATCCTACTAAACCTAGGATAAATCTACAGAAAAGTTGTTATTTCACCTTCTATGTGTCTGTGTAGCTACCTATCTACCTGCCTAACTACCTGCCTACCTACCTACCCATCTACCTCCCCTCCCACCTACCTACCTACGAGTTTCATTTGTAATGTGCAGAAACATGTCTAGCAGGCTTTTGGAATTGAATGCGATACTGGCGTCTGAGGTCAGGTTGTGTTATGTTAATTAATCTGTATCAGAAATGTTGAAATAAAAAAATAAAAAAATGAATCAACCAACCCTGGAGTATGATCTGGAAGTGGTTGCTTGGTCTGTCTGGGTAGCAACTCCTTATATCCAGAACCCCATACATGATTCTAGTGAAGTCCACGTGGTAGATATTTGTGTCAATGCTCGTCAAAGTTGTCTGTTCAAATGTGACAACAAGAGACAATACTAGCATTTATAAAACTTTCCTATAATAGAAACGAACTACAAACTAAAAGGTGTGCAGTACCACCGTATAGAATATTTATTGCTATTACATTTTATTGATGACAAGTGCAAAATACTTGCTTACTAGAGTGTGTGTGTGTATATATATATATTATATATATTACCATTTTAGACACTTTATTGTGAGTATAAACAAAAAACACCCTATGTATACAGTAAAATCTCATGAGCACAACTCGCCGAAGACGAGCAGTTGGTTAACATTAAGAAAATGTTGGTCCCTATTAGTCCCCGGCTAGCACCAATTCTTTTAAAACAAACTCTGGATTTTTCAGTAACTAGGAATTCACATTAACGAGGTTCTCCACACACACGCACGCATGCACACACACACACACACGCACATGCGCGCTCACACCCACAAACACACACACACACACACATATATATATATATATATATATATATATATATATATATATATATATATAGAGAGAGAGAGAGAGAGAGAGAGAGAACGAGAAGAGGTAACAGTGACCTAGAATAAATGCCTCAAATAAAACTTGTATGCAACTTAGCGTTGGAATGAGTCATTTTTTTTTTTAAAGGACATAATTAAAAGATGAACCTTCTCCATATTTTTCATCTTCACTTCTTCTTTTACTACTGTGAGTGTCGACGGAGATATAAGGTTGTGCTTCTTGCACTTGCTGCCTCTGAGACCATAGATACGTTATGCTGTTGCAGTGTTTCTCTGATGTTGTCTTCTCATTTTGTTCTTGATCTTACTCCTGCTCTGTGTCCTTCTTCTCTGTCGGGGTATGTCTTGTTTGGTATGGCGCCACAATTCATTCCATCTAATTGTGCACGTCATTTGATTTGCTGTCTTTGTGTGCAACTGAGAATTGGTTCGGTGCCGACTTTTTCTCTCATTATCTCATTTCTGATTGTATCTCTTCTGGTGACTCCCGCAGCCCTTCTCGGATATCTCATTTCCATGGTTACTAATGTTTCTTTTATGGTTTGTTGTAAGTGGCCATATTTGGCACAGATTGTATAGGCCGGGGTTTTGTATATGTTTCTTTGTGCTGACTGAGATTGTCTGATGCAGTAAGAGGGGGATAGCTGTACTAGTACTTGAATAAGACATACTAGTACAGTGTTTATAAAACAATCAATTCAGAATTACCAGCCAAAAATAGTTTTAAGGATTTTTATTTTTACTTTTAGGATTATTGGGTTTTTATACAGTTCAATAATTTTTGGGAAAATATTGAAAAGAAAAACCGTATAGACAGCCATAACCTTATTACTCTGTCTGGCGGGCATAGATAAGGTGGAGATATTATGCGGATGATTTTGAAGAGTTTGTTCTCAAAGCTAGGCAGATATTAGTTTAATTTGTTCTTAATAGGAATTATATCAAAGAACATTACTGAACAAATGGCAGACTTATCTCCTGATGACACTTCATAGCAACATCATCTAAAGTAATGTAGACTGAAATATTTTGCGCTATAGAAAATTTATTTCAATGAAATTCATTCATTGTTCCTTTGCGTTATTATATGTCATACATGGCTCACAGTCTCCCTCTCCCTCACTCCAAATCGTTCGATCCTGTGCAATACCTTTTATATCATGGATGGAATCCAGTCCACCAGCTTTGGTTTCTCTCCTCAACTTTCCATGTAAGGTTTCTTTTTGACGTCCTCGCTTCATCAATTCCTTTATTTCTTTTTTTAATGCATTTTCGGTGATGGTTTAATTCTAGGATGTGTCCAGTTTAGCACTGTTAACTGTTGACACTAGTTGTTGTACAGTTTAATACCATCATCTGTCTGTTAACTGTTGACACTAGTAGTTGTACAGTTTAGCACTATCTTTTGTATGTTAACTGTTGACACTAGTAGTTGTACAGTTTAGCACCATCTTTTGTCTGTTAACTGTTGACACTAGTTGTTGTACAGTTTAGCACCATCTTCTGTCTGTTAACTGTTGAAACTAGTTGTTGTCCAGACACCATCTTATGTCTGTTAACCGTTGACACTAGTTGTTGTCCAGTTTAGCACCATCTTCTGTCTGTTAACTGTTGACACTAGTTGTTGTACAGTTTAGCACCATCTTCTGTCTGTTAACTGTTGAAACTAGTTGTTGTCCAGACACCATCTTCTGTCTGTTAACTGTTGACACTAGTTGTTGTACAGTTTAGCACCATCTTTTGTATGTTAACTGTTGACACTAATTGTTGTACAGTTTAGCACCATCTGTCTTAACTGTCTGTTGTTAACTGTTTGACACTCTGTTGTTGTACTAGTTTTGTACACCATCTTCTGTCTGTTAACTGTCTGTTAAACTAGTTGTTGTCCAGTTTAGCACCATCTTATGTCTGTTAACTGTTGACACTAGTTGTTGTACAGTTTAGCACCATCTTCTTCTGTTGTCTGTTAACTGTTGACACTAGTTGTTGTACAGTTTAGCACCATCTTCTGTCTGTTAACTGTTGACACTAGTTGTTGTACAGTTTAGCACCATCTTCTGTCTGTTAACTGTTGACACTAGTTGTTGTACAGTTTAGCACCATCTTCTGTCTGTTTAACTGTTGACACACTAGTTGTTGTACAGTTGTAGCACCATCTTCTGTCTGTTAACTGTTGACACTAGTTGTTGTACAGTTTAGCACCATCTTCTGTCTGTTAACTGTTGACACTAGTTGTTGTACAGTTTAGCACCATCTTCTGTCTGTTAAACTGTTGACAACTAGTCTTTTTGAATAACTGTTGACACTTGTACAGTTTAGCACCATCTTCTGTCTGTTTCAAACTGTTGAACTGTTGCACCATCTTCTGTCTGTTAACTGTTGACACTAGTTGTTGTACAGTTTAGCACCATCTTCTGTCTGTTAACTGTTGACACTAGTTGTTGTACAGTTTAGCACCATCTTCTGTCTTTTAACTGTTGACACTAGTTGTTGTACAGTTTAGCACCATCTTCTGTCTGTTAACTGTTGACACTAGTTGTTGTTGTACCAGTTTAAGCACACATCTTCTGTCTGTCTGTTAACTGTTGACACTAGTTGTTGTACAGTTTAGCACCATCTTCTGTCTGTTAACTGTTGACACTAGTAGTTGTACAGTTTAGCACCATCTTCTGTCTGTTAACTGTTGACACTAGTTGTTGTACAGTTTAGCACCATCTTCTGTCTGTTAACTGTTGACACTAGTTGTTGTACAGTTTAGCACCATCTTCTGTCTGTTTAAACTGTTGACACTAGTTGTTGTACAGTTTAGCACTATCTTCTGTCTGTTAACTGTTGACACTAGTTGTTGTACAGTTTAGCACCATCTTCTGTTGTCTGTTTAATCTTCTGTCTGTTAACTGTTGACACTAGTTGTTGTACAGTTTAGCACCATCTTCTGTCTGTTAACTGTTGACACTAGTTGTTGTACAGTTTAGCACCATCTTCTGTCTGTTAAACTGTTGACAACACTAGTTGTTGTACTGTTGACACTAGTTGTAGTACACCACAATCTTCTGTCTGTTAACTGTTGACACTAGTTGTTGTCCAGTTTAGCACCATCTTTCTGTCTGTTAACTGTTGACACTAGTTGTTGTACAGTTTAGCACCATCTTCTGTCTGTTAACTGTTGACACTAGTTGTTGTACAGTTTAGCACCATCTTCTGTCTGTTAACTGTTGACACTATCTTCTGTTGTTAACTGTACAGTTTTAGAACCATCTTCTGTCTGTTAACTGTTGACACTAGTTGTTGTACAGTTTAGCACCATCTTCTGTCTGTTAACTGTTGACACTAGTTGTTGTACAGTTTAGCACCATCTTCTGTCTGTTAACTGTTGACACTAGTTGTTGTTACAGTTTAGCACCATCTTCTGTCTGTTTAACTGTTTGACACTATCTTGTTGTTGTACAGTTTAGCACCATCTTCTGTCTGTTAACTGTTGACACTAGTTGTTGTACAGTTTTTACAGTTTAGCACCATCTTCTCTGTCTGTGTTGTACAGTTTAGCAACTGTTGACACTAGTTGTTTGTACAGTTTAGCACCATCTTCTGTCTGTTAAACTGTTGACACTAGTAGTTGTTTGTACAGTTTTAGCACCATCTTCTGTCTGTTAACTGTTGACACTAGTAGTTGTACAGTTTAGCCCATCTTTCTGTCTGTTAACTGTTGACACTAGTTGTTGTACATCTTCTGTCTGTTAACTGTTGCACTATCAGTTCTGTCTGTTAACTTAACTGTTGAACTGTCCCTGTTAACTGTTGACACTAGTTGTACAGTTTAGCACCATCTTCTGTCTGTTAACTGTTTGTTGTTGTACAGTTTAGCACCATCTTCTGTCTGTTAACTGTTGACACTAGTTGTTGTACAGTTTAGCACCATCTTCTGTCTGTTAACTGTTGACACTAGTTGTTGTACAGTTTAGCACCATCTTCTGTCTGTTAACTGTTGACACTAGTTGTTGTACAGTTTAGCACCATCTTCTGTCTGTTAACTGTTGACACTAGTTGTTGTACAGTTTAGCACCATCTTCTGTCTGTTAACTGTTGACACTAGTTGTTGTACAGTTTAGAACCATCTTCTGTCTGTTAACTGTTGACACTAGTTGTTGTACAGTTTAGCACCATCTTCTGTCTGTTAACTGTTGACACTAGTTGTTGTACAGTTTAGAACCATCTTCTTCTGTCTGTTAACTGTTTGACACTAGTTGTTGTACAGTTTAGCACCATCTTCTGTCTGTTAACTGTTGACACTAGTTGTTGTACAGTTTAGAACCATCTTCTGTCTGTTAACTGTTGACACTAGTTGTTGTACAGTTTAGCACCATCTTCTGTCTTTAAACTGTTGACACTAGTTGTTGTACAGTTTAGCACCATCTTCTGTCTGTTAACTGTTGACACTAGTTGTTGTACAGTTTAGAACCATCTTCTGTCTGTTAACTGTTGACACTAGT